GGACAAGCTGGTCCACATGGTGAAACCTTGTCTCTCTACTAAAAACACAAAAACTTGGGCCAGGCGTGGTGATGCGCGCCTGTAATCCCAGCTACGCGGGAGGCTTTGAGGCAGGAGAATCGCTTGAACCCAGGACTGCACACTCAACGCAAGGCGAGCAGGAGAGAGACCAGTCTCAAAAACAAAAAAAAAAAAAAAAAAAAAAAAAAAAAAAATTCCAATAACCAACTATTCACGTTCCCATCAAACAAGATCTTTTTAAAAACACCAGTGGCCAGCCCATGCTCTAGGTGGTCGGTAGATTTCCCGAACATTCCATGCGGCCCGGGCCCTTCGCGCCACGGGCCACCTGTTGGAGAGCGCGGCAGCCATGGCTCTGAGCTACCCATGTGGCCGTGGCCTGCGGCCACCACAGGGTGAGGGCAAAAATGGGAGCAAGCCTAGCCTCAGCCACCGCCCAAGTGGGGCCAACCTCGAACTCCTGACCTCAGGTGATCCCTCTGCCGCGGCCTCCCAAAGTGCTGGGATTACAGGCGTGAGCCACTGCGCCAGCTGTGAAATTTTATTTATTTGCTCCGTAGCTTCGTTCATCCTGCAAAAACATTAGCACTAGTATTTAACATTTGTAGGTGAATTTTCTGAATTTGTCGAATTGCTAGATTTTTTTACACATAAAATATCCTGGGCTAATTATCCTAGCCTAATTATTATGCAACTAGCTTGCATTTATCAATGTCATTTTTGTTTACTTTTTAGGAGCTAGAGATGCTGTTATTCTACTGTATGTGAGAAATCGGCCCAGAGATGGAAAACTTTATTCTGTATGAGGAGATTGGAAGAGGAAGCAAGACTGTTGTCTATAAAGGGCGACGGAAGGGAACAATCAATTTTGTAGCCATTCTTTGTACTGATAAGTGCAAAAGGCCTGAAATAACCAACTGGGTAAGTCAGTGTATTTACATTGGCATGGGGAAATAGAGAGCTATGATGGGTAGAAGGGGATAGCATTTTCACAGTAGTCATTAAATTTGCTATAATAAACAAACCACAATTTTCAGTCCCGCGGAAGTGGGTGGACCCGTTCATATCTATTCAGGGGCCCACTCATGCCCCTGAAATAATGACTAATAAACACATATCCAAAGTAATGACCAACTAATTTTCCTTTTTTTTCTTTTTTTTGCGTGGAGGGGTATAAATCAGGAAACCTAATACTCTTTTTTTTTTTTTTTTTCCTTCCCTTAGAAACCAGGGTCTGTTCTGATATGTTGCCCAGACTGGAGTGCCACTGGGCTACTGGCAGCCTCGATCTCCTGGGCTCAAAATGATCCTCCGCCACCTCAGCCTCCAGAGTAGCTGGGACTACAAGGCACATACCACCACACCTGGGGCTAGATTTTTGTATTATTTTCATAGAGTTGGGTTTGGCTAGTTGCCCAGAGCCCTGGTCTCGAACTCCTGAGCTCAAGTAATTGGCCTGCCTTCAGCCTCCCAATAAGTTTGGGATTTACGGCAAGGGAGCAATGAGCCCAGCCTGGGAAACGATATTGTATAATTTAAGGTAATTTACTTTTGAAATTGGTGGTATTTAGAAACAAGCAGGTTTCCCCTACCTCTGCAATTGTACTGTATCAGGTAAGGACACTGGGTAAGAACGTGACTTCGTGGGTGCGAATAGCTGGTGTCACTTTATATGTCCTAGGCTTCCTTGGACCATACTCTAACTTAAAAAAAATATTGTGGCTGGGGTGCGGGTGGCTCCACAGCCTGTTAATCCCAGTACCTTGAGAGGAGGCCGAAGGACGGGCGGCTCACGGTCAGTAGTTCAATAGCCAACCTGACCAACATGGTGGAAACCCCCGTTTTACTCTAAAATTCACAAAAAATTAGCCCGGCGTCGGTAGTTGTGGCCCTGTAATTCCCCAGCTACTCCAGGAAGGCTGAGGCAGGAGAATTCCTTGTAAACCCGGGAGGTGAGGTTGCAGTGATGCTCCGAGATTCACGCCATTGCACCTCCTCAACCTGGGCGACAGAGTTGGACTCCATCTTCCAAAAAAAAATAATAATCCTTCTATATATTTAATAATATACAGTCTATATAAATATATATAATATATAACATATAAATATTTTATTATATGTTATAACATATAATCTATATTTTTTTATTATATATTATAATACTAATATTATATACATAACATATAAAAAATATAATTGGTATATTTTTTACCAATATATTGGTAAAATACAATATAACAAAGTTTGTACCTTAGTGATTTTTAATTGTACAGTTTAGGGATACTAAGTACATTCATATTGCTGTGCAACTATCACCTCCATCTATCCCCATAACTCTTTTCATCTTGTAAAACTGAAGCTCTGTACCCATTAAACTGTAATTCTTCATTTCTCCTTCTCCAGCTTTTGGCAACTATCATTCTACTTTTTGTTTCTGTGGTTTTGACTACTCTATGTAAATGGTGTCATACAGCATTTTTCTTTTTTGTGTCTGACTTATTTCACTTAGTGTAATGTCCTCAAGGTTTATCCATGTTGAAGCATGTGTCAGAATTTCCTCCTTTTTAAGACTGAATCATATTTCATTGTACATATATGAAGTTCATTTTGCTTATCTATTTATGTAACAGTGGACACAAGTTGCTTCCATGTTTTAATTATTGTGAACAATGGTGCTATGAAATGTGGATACAAATATCTTTTTGATATCTTGCTTTCTTTTGTGTGTATACTCAGAAGTGGAATTGCTTGTGCTATGGTAATTCTATTTTTAATTATTTGAAGACTTGCCATACTGTTTTCCTCAGCAGCTCTGCCATCTTTACCTTCCAGCCCATCAGTGTACAAGGGTTCAGTTTCTCTGCATCCTTCTCAGTACTTTTTTTTCTTTTTTTTGACAGTAACCATCCTAATGGGTGTGAGGTGGTATCTCATTATTGTTGTGATTTGCATTTCCCTAATGACTAGTGATTCTCAGCAGCATCTTTTCATGTGCTTGTTGACAATTTTATATCTTCTTTGGAGAAATGTCTATTCTTTTTGTCCATTTCCACAAGTCCTTTGCCCATTCTCTAATCTGGTTGTTTATTTTCTTGCTAAGTTTTATGACTTCTCTATATATTCTAGATATTAATCTGTTATCAGATATATGATATGCAAATATATTTTCTTATTCCATAAGTTGCCTTTTCACTTTGTTGATAGTGCCTTTTGTTGTACTAAAGTTTAAAATTTTTGCAGTCACATTTGTCTTTTTTTTGTTATCTGTGTCTTTGATGTCTTATCCAAATATCCAAAAATCATCGCCAAGCCCAGTGTCATGAAGCTTTTGTCCTATTTGTTGTTCTGAGAGTTATGTATTTTTACCTCAGTGATATTTGACTCATTTTGAGTTAGGTTTTGTATGTGGTGTTCCGTAAATGTCTCAGTTTGTTTGGCCTGCTAAAACAAAATACCTTGGACTGGATAGCTTTTAAATAACAGAAATTTATTGGTCATAGTTCTTGGGACTGGGAAGTCCAGGATTAAGGTGCCAGCAGTTTTGGTGTCTGGTAAGGGCTTGCTCTCTTTCTCAAAGATGGTGCCTTCTATGTGTTCCCACATGGCAACAAGAAGAAACAACCCCCTTAAGGTTCTATTCATAACGCCATATTCATTTATGAACACAGGCCTCATAGCTCCCTAAAGTTCACCAATAACACCACCATGCTAATTCAATGTGAATTTTAGAGGGACACATTCAGACCCCGACAACTTCTCTCTTTTACATTATCCATTACAGGAGGGGTACGCATTTGTTGAAAAAGACTGCCCTTGTCTCCATTGGACATAGTTTTGGAAATACTTTGTTGAAAAGTCCATTTGCGACACAAATATAGTTCGGTGAGCAATTGTCTCTCGGCGCTTCTTATTGCCATTGTTGGTCGCACCTGGCTCCGTCTTTACGTGCCAGTACATATAACTCGTTTTTATTATTGTACATTCTGTAGTACGTTTTGGATCAGGAAGTGTGTGTTCTCCAAGCTTTGTTTTTTTTTTTTCTTTTAAGATTGGTTTCTTGGCCATCTTGACATACACTTGAGATTCATTTATTTTTGAATAGATTTTTTTAGTCCACAAAAAAAGTTTGCTTTGGATTTTGATAAGAATTGCATTGAATGCATAGAATTGGCTTTGGTAGATTGACGCCGTTCTGTGGGGGGTCAGGATTGACACCGTCAAGTTATAATATCTGAGAGTATTGCCTCTCTAATGTGCAGTAAACACGGGGCGAGCCATTGATATTTTCCCACTTATACTTATGTTTTTTTTCTGTTTTTTGAGATGGGATCTCACTCTGTCCACAAGGCTGCAATGCTGCGGCACAGTCCCGGCTTACTGCAAGCTCGCGCCACGGCGTTCACGGCCATTATCTCAGCCGTGCCTCAGCCTCCAGAGCTGCGGGCTGACCAAGTGCCCGCCACCACCCCAGGCCAATTTTTTTGTATTTTGGTAGCAGACGGGGTTCTCACTGTGTTAGCGCAGGATGGTCTCAATCTCCCTGACTGCATGATCCGCCCACCTCAGCCTCCCAAAGTGCTGGATTACAGGCGCGTGACCACCACACCCGGCCTATTTATGTCTTTTAAAATTTTCTTTTCAGAAGTTTTTATAGTTTTTGTGTGTGTAAGCCTTTCTACCCGTTTGGTTAATTCCTATGTGTTTTATTCTTTTTTGCTGCTATTATAAATGGAGTTTGTTCTTTAATTTCCTTTTTCGATTGTCAATTTGTTAATATATAGAAATTCCCTGGGATGGTGGCTCACACCTGTAATCCCAGCATTTTGAGAGACTGAGCGCAGGGATTGCTTGAGCTCAGGAGTTCCAGACCACAGCTTAGGCAACATGGTGAAAATGTGCTCCTGCAAAAGATACAAAAATTAGCCAGCGAGTGGCCAGGCGCGGTGGGTCCGCCTGTAAGCCAGCACTTTTGGAGGCCGAGAGTGGGCGGATACTCGAGGCCAGGAGTTCAAGACCAGCCTGGCCAACATGGTGAAACCCTGTCTCTATTTAAAAATACAAAAAAATCAGCCGGGCGTGGTGCACATACCTGTAGTTGCAGCTACTTGGGAGGCTGAGGCAGAGAATCACTTGAACTCAGGAGGTGGGGTTGCAGTGAGCCAAGATTGCACACACTGCACTCCAGCCTGGGCAACAGGGCGAGACTCCGTCTCAAAAATTAGCGGGGATGGTGCATGCACCTGAGGTCCCAGCTACTTGGGGAAGCTGAAGTGGGAGGATTGCTTGAGCCTGGGTGGCAGGGGTCACAGTGAGCCATGATTGTGCCACTGCACTCCAACCTGAGTGACGGACTGAGACCCTGTCTCCAAAAAAAAAAATAATAATAAAAATAAAATAATATAAATAAATAAGAGAGGTTTTGCCAGTACCTGCATCAATCAAACCTCTCAGACTGCTGCCAGATGTGTGGCTCTGCCTATAATCTGCCACTTTGAGAGACCAAGGTGGGTAGCATCACTTGAGCCCAGAAGTTCGGACCAGCCTGGGCAACATGGTGAAACCTTGCTCCTCTAGAAAAAATAGAAAAATTAGCCAGGCATTGTGGTACGTGCCTGTAGTCTCACCTACTTGGGAAGACTGAGACAGGAGGATTCTTCAGCCCTGGAGGTGGAGGTTGCAGTGAGCCGCGATCATGCCGACTGCACTCCCGCCTGGGGACAGAGACACTGTCTCAAAAAAAAAGGCAGACTGTGGTGGCCTCATGCCTGTAATCCCATCACCTTTGGGAAGCCGAGGGGGCAGATCCACTCAGGTCAGGAGTTTGAGACCCAGCCTGGCCAACCAAGGTAGACCCGTCTCTACTAAAAAACAAAAATATAGCTGGGTATTGGTGTGGGCATCTTAATCCCAGCTACTTGGAA